AAAATGACCGGTTTCCTACTATAGTTTTGACTCATCAGTTAGAGAGGAAGCAGAAGCTGGGAGTAGGATCAGTCAAACAGTAGTTGATTGATTACGACCTGGTCAATATGCCCGCGCTTCTCGTTCTGCCAGCGGTTGTTTTGGCTCCTTTCTCTTCAGCTATTCGACTCCAATATTCCGTGGTCAGTTGGTTACTCTGTTGACTAACGCACGAATGTTAACGCATTGGTCGTGTTCCCGCTGATGTTTTACCACCCCAATGACTCGCGTTCTCCGCGTTCTGTGAAGGACGTAGTTTTTGAAAACTGGAAAAGTTATTGGCTATTTCGAAGAAGTGATCTAAACTGATCTATAACACTGCTGTTGAAATTCTGACACCCGCGTTCTCACTTGTGACTTACATGTGTGAGTGAAGCAGCAAAACGGCGACATAACTAGAAAGCATTGTATAGCACACTTGTTTGTTCACGCTAAACCAACCCCGTTCCCCACCTAGTGATTTTCCTAAAAATAAATAAGCCAGAAGTAAATAGATGACTCGACTTTCCCCGCATTTTTTGCTATTTCTATCTCTGTAAGTAGATTTCTATGCAGTGGAGGAAAAAACGAATGATTTAATTACAAGAATACAGTCAGCTATGCAGAAAACCACTGGAGTAATTACACTCTTTTTCAAGATTTCTCTGTGTGCGCGACTGTATGTAGTCCAGTTAACAATGTTGTTTTGCATCCGATGGGGGACAGTGCATCACAGCAAATGAGAGGCTACGATTTTGTGGACAAACACCGTGGGACGCTGATTACTTCCGGGCCAATTGTGCGTAATTATCCAATGCCCGCACGTCAGGTGCAATTTTCTCAAAGCCTATTGAAGCGGTACTGGAAGACGTGGTTCCGTCACTGTGGTAGGAGTCTCCATTGCCAAACATGTACACAAGGACCTTACTCGATTTTTAGGGTTTTATGAATTACCTAAATGTGACTAAGACACTACATTCCGAAGCGTTCCTTCCCGTAAACACTCTATCGTCAGAAAGGCATGCTATTGCTGATATTTCTCGCTGGACGTTCTCTCTGTGACTGCTAGTTAATGTATTCTACACTGCTAAACTACTACATTTAACATGTTTATTCACACACGGGATGTTTTGGTGGTATTCCTGCTGCCGTATTCATCTTGTTTTCTCGCAGCTGTCTTTTCAGTGATTGGTTACGTCGTAAGCATTCCCAGCGTACCGATATATCTGCCTCCTTGATTCGCTTTCCTGGTCTACTATGTCTGTAGGAAACATCATATGTAACGTACACCATGGTGGGTGGATACATTATATGCACTTAACCTAACAAGCCCTAATTACTGACTATTACCTTAAGGTATTGCGCTATAAGTGTGTGCTTAATTTCTTGGCTGAACAGTGAAACAGTACGTCTTACTTCTGTTCACTCCCTAAACTATCTCTCAGACGCAAGTTGAGCACTTTTGTGTACAGCTAGCTACTGGGGATTCCGAAAACAGCTATTCCCGCACCTACAACACCCTAAAAAGACCAGGTATCAAACAGCATGGGCCAGATGGTCTGTGGCCAATTTATTCAACGAATTCACGCAACTCCTGACCGTTTGAATTTATACGCTCTGCGCCATTAGCATTTTTGAACACCGTAGCGTCTTTCACTACATCCTAAGGAAATATAGTGGAAACGTTTTTAAACCTATAATGTCGTTTATAAAACGTCGGTTTAATTTGAGGTTTATCGAAAATTATTGGGAAAGAAGGTCTTGAGCTAAAACCCTTTGGCTACAACGGTTGTAGCATATGTGGATGCTCCTGTACAAATTGACACACCAACAGATTGACACTAATTAGTTTATATTCGAATTGCAATGGGAGCATAGCTTGTGGCCCTGTCCGCATAGATGTACGGCCAGCCGTCCCATTTGGGCGTGTTTTTGGTCACTCACGGACGCTAAAAGTAAATATGAAAATAAATGAAGTAATATTTTAAGTGAAGTTTTAAATATGTTAACTAATATTATGCATCTTCAGCCTTGCCTTTCTTTACCTACAAGTCCCTACATTTTAGTGAAATAATAATTTCAGCCAGCTCAAGTGACCGTTTGAGCGTCTTGAGTGACCAAATTTTGTGCCCCTCGCTGTCCCAATTGGACACATTTGGGACGAATTTCGGTCACGTAACAACATTACGCTTTAGCCTAACGGCTATAGTTTTGATAAATTACAATTTGGTAATCGATTTCCGCTTAACGTTGACGGTATTTGCAACCAGAAAAATGCATTCACGGCATGTGTTTAGGGTGTGGTGGAAAATTTTCTGAGTGACCAAAAGTCATCTAAAAAGCGTTCAATTGGGACGACCAAAAGAACAAAAGCTGGCCACCAACGGTCACTCCAGCGGACACTTTTTAGTAACTTGTGCTATGTGGGGCACTGGCTCAGATAGCTGTTATGTAATGCCCACGTATCAGTTGCACTACACGATCAGTTTCAGTCCAGGTGATCGAAATGACAGAAGTCCATTCCCGGGTGATTTGTCTACCTGGTTCAGATCTCGTTTTGCAATCAATTTGCATAGCGAGTGCTTCGGAACAACACTCACTTAGTCATCAACCGTTTTGAGAAGCATTGCCAGCCGCAACTCGACGGTTTAGAGATAAAGGCATTGGTTGACATCCCAACGCCTCGGGTTCGAGTCCCAGTTCCGCTATATTTACCCGATGGGGGCAAACGGTAGGAACCGTTGGTGAAGTGACATGTTTACTGGAGAGCACCTAACATTCAGTTATTTGATGTATTGTTCCAAGAGGAAAGATTACTACCTGGCATTCGGGATCGGAAAATCTCCAAACTTTGTGAGCGCCCCCAGCGGTTGGTGAAGAAGCTTGTTCCCGAACTGTTTCCTTTCACCGAGCCGTAGAAGAAGAAATTTCGCATGCGATAAACCAGAACGGAAGCGCTGTCATGATACTAAAGCTCTACATCATTGCACCACCGCTACGTTCTTGAAGTAATGGCTCAGATCAAGTAGCAACTTACCCAAACCAACGCCTTTCAGCCACTACTCAAGTACTCAGGAAATTCAGCCACCCACCAACTCGTCATCGGTTTCCCGACACACGAGCATGGTGAGAATACAGAACATATTCAAAGCGGTCACTTGTCCAACCGATGGCTTCTACTTTGCTGCCACTTATAATAACGTCGCCTTGTGAAACACTTGCTGCGTCTGGGATATGAATCGAAAAATATACCCACCGATATATTTTCGTGGTGACGGTATGTTCACACGTATGCAGATTGCTGTATGCGAATCATGGCAAGTAATTCCGCTCACTTGATTAGGCTACCCATTAGCATAGTTCTATCTGTGTTGCCGATAATGACCAGCTGTGTAGTCAGCAGCCAACCTAGACCCCAGAAGAACCATTTTGCGACCCACTTAGGACAGACAAAAATACACCCGTTTTGTGCGGTGGCCCTCACCTAATACCATGGTTGGATGATTGAACGCCGACTACACACGCCCGCCATTTATGCTCACGTGATATATCAGGAATGAATGACCAAAATGAGAGCCCTGACAAGGCACCCCCCACTACGATGACAGTAACTCGGTGTCTGGACCTAAGTAACTAGAAACGTTTCAACGTTAAACGTGAACAAACGCTCATTGACAGTGCTGCGCTTAAAGAATTCTTCCATCAAGGACAGTGCCAGGGCCTAACGACTACCTTGTGTGTAGCGGGGACGATTTATCCCAACATTTTACATCACGAATTAACTTATGTGTACCCATTCAACATGGATTCACTACTCAAAGGTGCGTTTTACCATCATTGTGAGCGCTGCACCTACAACGTGATTTAAGCTAGTTATCAGGACTAGTCTGGTCATGGGTGCTATGCAGGTGTCGATGCAGTGTGGACCATCTCCGGGTCATACCTTGATCCCGCCGGCATGCATACTTATTAGCGAACTCTAGAGGCTTGTGGACAACACCGGGTTTACTGCATCGAAAACTTTTCACGGTTTCCCAGGAGGCGTAGATGGTTATCAGATATCTTCAATGCAATGTTATGTATGTTATAAAGGTGAAGAGGCACGACTTCATTTGCTATAGGAGCCTAATGAAAACTGGAATATGTCGGACATTTTGTGGGTAATCATTTTCATGACGGAGCATGGAGTTTCACTATCAATAGTCATCACTATGGTTACGATCGCGCATTATGAGTTCAGCAATGTCAGTCGTATACTCACGCTGCAACACTATCGCAATGTTGCATTGAGCCTCAGTCATCTGTTGTTGGAGGTGAAAAGCATTTGACCGTTATCTATTTTCAAGTGCACTGCGTTCCAGGATCGATTCCGTCTTCACGTCGAAGACCAGGATAGGACCGGGGATCCCATGAGTGCCGATCCAGGACCCTGTTATCGGGAAGTGTAGATGTGTAGCGACGGATGATAGTCATTGTCCCTGAATCGACATCCATGTGAGATCACTCACTTGGTGTAAGTTTTGTTTTCCTTTAGATATTATCTCTGTTCTCTTGCGCATGCACGGGCTTATGCGATGCGGAGTGCTAGCCAATTTCGCTGATGGTGATGATCTTAAAGTCATTATATGACGCGCAGTAGATGAATGCCTGCATTGCCGTTAATTGTTCGACTCAGTGAGCAGTGTTTGGTACGGAATTCGACGTTCTGAATCCTTTCCAACCCTTCCACATATATGTTTCCCGTAGAAAGCCATTTATTCTCTGATTTGTTCGCAGTGCACCCCAATTCCATATCTACTCGTTGAGCTTTCCGATTAGATATATATTGGCCGTTCTGGATGGGTGAATGCATGACATTTCTCCTCCCTACCATCTCGTGTTTTTATCTCCCATTAACCATTGTGTCGTTTTGCGAAACCAACATCATCTTTCCCATTTCCAATCTAACAATCCTGTCTCTTCCCACTCGTCTCTCTGCACAGCATGCGCAAAAAAGCAAAACCGGAACTGGAGAATGTTAGGTACCGTGACATTTCCCTGCGAATATCCGTACAAGAGGTGAAAAACCTGCCCTTTAAAGGCCGGTGAGTCAAAGTAATAATGTGCACCTGCTAGGTCACTTTCATCCGTTGGATTTTCTCCCGGGATATCACAAGCTTCTGGCAGTATGTACCGTGTAGCGTAAACAGACCCATGTTGTGTAGTTGAATTACGGACCAACATCATGGTGAATTTTTGAGAATTTTCTTAAAACTGGCAAAACTTGTATTCTACTTTTCCCATCTCTTTGACATACCAAAGGTGGCGTGTGTTTGGAAACTACTTTATTGGAACTTTTGAGGTAGAAAATTTCGTTAATAAAAGAAATATAAGGATGAGGTTGTGTACATCCAGTAAAAACAGGTTCTCCATGTTCATCTGTATAAAAGGGCCTCTTTGTAAGCAAAACACAATTGCCATAAGTTTGCCAAAATGTCACATGATTTGGTCTGATTGATTGCATCTGGCCCAACTGTTTATGAACTGTTTGTATATGAAAAGTCAGCGACGCTGGGTGTTCATGAAGCTTTATTAAAAAAGTACAAACAAAATCGATCTGCTAATCTTGTATGGTCTCCCACTTGTCAGAAACAATCGCCAACACATGCTTATATTCGTAACAGTGGGCGCAACCGAACAAGTTTGGGGCACGCGTTCTACTATTTACTTGAGCCTAGTAACCGATTGGAGGGTCATTTTGAAGTGCACATTGTGTGAATGGAATGTGACGCGCAATCTCAATGTATACGGTACTTCACATTCAAGTGAGACGGTTAATCCGATCACTAGGACCGTAGCTGATGAAGCAGGAGGAAATTGGGTGTTGCCCGCCCAAAACATCGCACTCCACGACGCGTTTCGACCTTATTATGTCTTATCGGGTAGAAATAGCAGGCCTCGAAGCTGGGACCATTGGGATGTCAGTTGAGAAATCTACCTCTAAGCCACTGGGTCACAACGGGCTCAACTAACAACCTAATGCTTCCGGGTTCGAGACCAGCTGTCTCTACCTCGTAAGACCGAGCAAGGTAGAAACGTGTCGTAGAGTGCAATGTTTCCTGCCGGGCAACACCTGAGTTCCTTTTGCTTGACAAGTGAATATTTTTCAACGCAAAATTTCCTTCATGCGCCTATCCACGATAGTCTTGACGATGATTCGTGTCAGGTAACACAACCTACGTGGTGAAGTCACCCATATCCAGTCACTGATAGACAGCTTATTGAAACCAGGCGAAGCAGTCGATCATAGCAATTGCAGAGAAGGAGATATTCAGTCAATTTGCGTTGCAGCGGCTTCGACACACTTCTCTTCCTTTGAGAACTCAATTTTCTATTGTTTCAGTCTATGTATCTATCCCACCGGCCTCATAGAAATGGGTGTGTATTTGTACCGAGATGGGTTCGGTATGATTTTAACCAGCATCAATGCGCCGCCCTCGGTTTGTGTACCCTTTATACGACTAGCTTCGTCAACAGTCAACCACTTACGGAGCACAGACCAATGCGTTGAACTCCGTGTTGCCCCAAACTAGTGCTGCGCTACTCCAATGACAGTTGCCTTCTTTTTCGCTTAGCTGTCCCGATATACCAAATGGAATCAGTTCTCTATGTCAAAAAACGGTTGGCCGTCGGCTTCAGAATGCCCTACACATAAAGATTGAACTTTCGTTTTTCAGTTTATGACTCTAAGTTGGTTTGTTGCACCCCAGTTATTGCAAAGATTACTTAGGCGTTAATGCGAAATCCATGAGTCTACGAGATTTTGCTTTCTGATGGCCATTTGCAACTATGCGAGAGCAGTATTAACATACACACGGCAAATATTTTGCTGTCTATGTCTGGTCAAATGTTTTCGTTAGCAATAAGCTTTAACGGAAGGCTAAAATTTTTCGCATGTTTTCAGGGATGTTGCTTGCGCGTACCAAGTTCAGCGATTGCAAACTTGTACAAATATCGCTCCGGTAACCCGCTAAACCTTAATTCTGTCCAAAATATTTCAAATCAAGAAGAAAACATATAGTCCTACTTCAATTTTACATGCAATCGCTCATTTATTGCCTATATTGTGTTCAGCCAAGGTTACTCATATTGCCGCCACTCATTTGAGCCTTTTCCCGCTATCATGGGGGGTGCTGCATTACACACTCGTTCTGCCAGCTCAGCAATGCTTGCCACTCAGTGGGGACCATCGATACCTGATTTAGCGATGCTGAGTTTGGCTGCTAATTCAGGAACTGTTGATCGTGCTTGCACTGACTCATTCAGCCGTAGTTATTTACGATGTGTGGATACATCGACGCTAGTGAACGGCACATTAAAGTAAGAATATTTTTTAGTTTTCAATTTGCTGCAGTTACGATGCGATGTTCAACAACCACGTGGACCATTCACTAGCTTTCGATGCCAAAGAAAAAGACGTTTATACTGATTTACCTATGACGTCTCAGCCCATCTGGCTATAATTCACTTACCTCACTCGAGTCAAAACGTTGTATAGCATAAAGGTTACCTGGACGAACGTCTATATGATGTACTTATGTAGGGCTTTCGGTCCCTTCCGTTCGAGGTAAGGAATCCGAAGAAAACAACGATCACAACAAGGTCTGTTTTTCCATGGTATCATGTTAACTAACCCCGTTCGATTGCTGACCAATGCGACTGAGGTTGGTGCTACTGTGTGATTATTTTAATAAAGGATAGACGCTTTTTGTTACGTCGGAATAGTTAGTAGCCTTGATGGTTGTCGAGGCAGCCTCTGTGAAGTTTCTAGAGAATGAAGGTTCACTTACTGCCTCATCTCAATCTTTAGCCAATGTGTACGTTACGCCACACTTCCACGTAGCGATAAACAATCTATCTTTCTGGCGCCATAACATCTCCATAGGCAACGATTGTGAACAATGCGAATTACGACAGCCTTAGCTTGTGTTGCAGGACACTAGATAGAGAGAGCACTTTCGAAACGACCCAACCATCGTTTATTTATAGTGGACTATTCCGCCTAAGCGAATACTACGCATGAGCAACTAGCCAGGCAATTGTCGGTTTGACCACAATTTAGCATGAACACCCGCTGAGGTGCAACGTTTCAGCCCATCGGTGATCAGAATTTTAATGCAAACCAAATACACCGGAACTGAGTAAGATCCGTCAAAAAAGGACAAAGAAGTGCAGAAATTTTCTATTAACTGATTCTGTCTCAGCGATACGAGACTGAACACAATATCTCCATGCTTTATGTACTACCATCTTTGACATCTCCTGCGCTTACAACCGTGGTTTGTGTTTCCATGACCACATTCTCAGCCTAACTTCTTTGCGCATCGTTTCGTTTCGTCGCTCCTCTCCTGAGGTTTGTTTCTACAGTCACCTCAGCAAAAGCAAAACATTCCGGAGGGTAGTGGTTGAAGAGCAGACGCATCAGTCGTTCAGCATATCATCAAAAGTCCTGTCGTCTAGCTTCGGCTGGTGTGTATCAGTGTCACTCATTCAACGGTCCCATGATATATGGGGCTGTGCTTCGCTGAGATTTATGATGGGAGCTAAACGTTTAATTGAAGGCATCGACTCAGAGGAGTCGCAGGCAATCATCTGGGAAATCCATTGAGCTACCCAAACAATGGCTGTTCCACATCTACCTCTCAAAACAAAGTTTATTGATGTTAATCGACATCGTAAGTTCCAATCAGTAGGCCACTACACTTTCTGGTAAATGGCTGACTACGGTTTCATCCTTCTGGCTCACGTCAGTGGCTCGAATCTCCTCCGATTCTTTCGGGCTTCAAACCCGCCACTCTCCTCATAGTACGCGGTAACCTAATCCACTGAGCCACAGGTAATGGCGGCCGACCGCTTTGAATGGCTGCCATACGGGGAGTCTTATCCTCTATCATCATGTGTGTCACCGCTATGCAGAGAGTTAGGTTTGGCCGCATGACTCCACTACTTCCTTCTCTACTAGCACAGGTGATTACCACCTGCTGGAAAATAGTGTAAGGTTTCCGAAATCATTCGAAGAGATTCATCGTTCAGATGAGCAGGCCGAAAAATCTTATTACATTTGAAGCATTTTATTTCCATCCTTACACGACCTGGTGACGCATATTTCTCACCATCTCGCTGTTGTGGCGGTGGCCGAACTTTGTGCACCCTTCGTGACCACTGCTACCACTCACACTGACATTACTCACATTTAGTCGATTCCAAATTGTCGGTCACCCCAGCTGTTTTTATGTCAACGCAAAGGTCTTTTAAGTAAACTGATGGAGCTTCGCCTGCGTCAGGCCTCGATGTCAAGGGACCTCTTTATGATAACCGAGACCTGGTTGAATGAAGCGATCACTGATGCAGAAATCGCACTACCTGGGATGCCTATTCTACCCAACGATCGACCAAGTAGAGGAGGTGGAGTACTACTTTACTATCGCAGCGAACTACACATTGACCTCATCGATGACCCAGAGGTTCAGATTGGCGATGCGCTCTGGTGTCGTCTTTACCTAAGCCGTGGGGACGCATGTTTGTTGGGTGTGGTGTATCGCCCTCCGTCGGCTACTTTGGAAATGGACAACCGCCCAGCCTCCACAATGAGGACCATTCTCTCACAATCGTACAGTCATATTCTCCAGGTTGGTGACTTCAATATTCATACCGTAGAAACCCAAACCTGTATCAACGAACACTTCAAAATGGAAGTACAGGAGATAATTAGTGGACTACCACTCTACAATCACATCACATCTCCCACAAGATTCAAGACGGGAAACAAACCGGGTGTCCTGGATCTCGTATTCACCAATGAAGAGCTTATGATCGAAACGGTATCGATAGATGGTCCTTTAGACCGTAGCGACCATGCAACCCGCATGTTCAAGTACATCTGTTATGCAGAGTATTCTTCAGAAAACACCGAAGAGTGTCAGCTCATTACGGATTACGGCGCTCTAATCAAACTTATAAATACTACAAACTGGGCATTTCTAGCAGAACGATCCCCCGATGACGCCTGGTCTGAATTTGCGCACCAGTTCAATACGTTAGTAAC